AATTGCGTGCACCACTCTAAGATAAAACAAATATTCTGCCACAATTATTCTTTGTAATTTAAACGCACAATCACTCCCGGGGGTGTAGCTGCGAGCATGGTAGGCTTTGCTGGGGAAAATGGCGGCTTCGGGGGAGGGGAACCATTATTCTTCTGCTTCTGATTGGTGCATTTTCGAATTTCTGTGGGGTCGAGCTTTGAAATTTGGGAATTTGGGAGATTTGGGATTTGGGAGATTTGGGAATTGGAAGATTTGGAAATTGGAAGATTTGGAAATTGGAAGATTTGGAAATTAGAAGATTTGGAAATTGGAAGATTTGGAAATTGGAAGATTTGGAAATTTGAAGATTTGGGAATTGGAAGATTTGGAAATTGGAAGATTTTGAAATTTGAAGATTTGGGAATTGGAAGATTTAGAAAATGAAGATTTGGAGATCTGAACATTCAAAAACTGAAAACTTTAGGAATTTGAAAATTTCTATATTTACAAACTTGAGAGAATGATTCCACAATAATAAAATCAGGAAAATGCAAAAATTTCAAATTAGTAGAATTTCCAAAAAAAATGTAGAACCTTGAGTCCTTGAACAATTAAAAGATCTTTCGAACCTGAAAACTAAAAAATTATCAATTAGAATATCCAAATACAGTTGACAATTTTCTTCCAGACCTATAAAAGCTAGTATTTATAGAAGAAGATTACTACACAATGCCTTCTTGCACCTTTCGAATCAGCAGGAAGCAGAGATTACTGAAAAAGAAAAGAATACCAAGCGGTGGAACAGAGCGTAGCAAGAGCGGAAGGAATTAAAAGCCCTCCCATCGTGTCTCCTCCCCATTTCCTTTTTTTCAAATCCCACGAAAAAAGGAGGGTGATTTAAAGGGTAGATTTTCCGGTTCGAGTCGTTGCACCGGTGCACTGCTCCGCGGGCACCTGTGCTCGCGAATTAAACTCGAAATTGCCGGTACACTCCACTGCAACGTAAGCTTTCATTTGATATGGATACTTGGATACTCTACTGTTTGTCATTTATCGAGTTGTCATTTATAGAGCTTGGTGAGGTTTAAGTATTAAAATTTTTATATTTTCAAGTTCTTGTAGTTTTAAGTCATTTATGGGGTTGTCAGTTATCAAGCTTGGTGGGGTTTAAGTATTAAAATTGTTATATTTTCAAGTTTTTATAGTTTTAAGTTATTTATGGAGTTGTCATTTATAGAGCTTGGTGGGGTTTAAGTATTAGAATTCGTATATTTTCAAGTTTTTATGGTTTCAAGTTTTCAAATAGTTAAATTTTCATGTTAGTTACATTTCTAATTATTCTTAAATTAATAAATTTACAAGTCTTCATGTTAGTTAAATCTCTAATTATTCTTAAATCCATAAATTTTCACATCTTCACATTTATAAATATTGAACATCATTTCTAACCCAACCATGTCTCCAACGTCCTCCTACGTTTCCAGATATCTAAACTTCCACATTAACTAACCTCCAAATGTCTACATTTCTAAAGTACTTAATTATGAAATATATAAGTCTTCAAATGTAGATATCTCTGAACCTTCAAATCCCTATATGTCATCCCTATACGTCAAATCCAACTTACCACAACACGCATTACCAAATTATGATATTACCAAATCCTCAAGTGCTCAAATTGTATATTCACCACATTTCTAAATTATTATATTAAATTTCCAAATCTCCAAATCCCTACATCTCCAGACCTCTAAATCTCAAAATTTCTAATTGTTGAAATCTCCAAATCCCCAAATCTCGAAATCCCCATATCTCCAAATTCCCATATCTCTAAATCCCCAAATCTCCAAAGTTCCATGTCTCCGAATTCCCATATTTCCAAAGCCCCAAACCCCCAAATCCCCATATCTCCAAATTCCCATATCTCTAAATCCCAAAATCTCCAAATCCCCATATCTCCAAAACCCCATATCTCCAAATCCCCATATTTCCAAAGCCCCATATTTCCAAATTCCCATATCTCCAAATCCCCATATCTCCAAAACCCCATATCTCCAAATCCCCATATTTCCAAAGCCCCATATTTCCAAATTCCCATATCTCCAAATCCCCATATCTCCAAAACCCCATATCTCCAAATCCCCATATTTCCAAAGCCCCATATTTCCAAATTCCCATATCTCCAAATCCCCATATCTCCAAAACCCCATATCTCCAAATCCCCATATTTCCAAAGCCCCATATTTCCAAATTCCCATATCTCCAAATCCCCATATCTCCAAAACCCCATATCTCCAAATCCCCATATTTCCAAAGCCCCATATTTCCAAATTCCCATATCTCCAAATCCCCATATCTCCAAAACCCCATATCTCCAAATCCCCATATTTCCAAAGCCCCATATTTCCAAATTCCCATATCTCCAAATCCCCATATCTCCAAAACCCCATATCTCCAAATCCCCATATTTCCAAAGCCCCATATTTCCAAATTCCCATATCTCCAAATCCCCATATCTCCAAAACCCCATATCTCCAAATCCCCATATTTCCAAAGCCCCATATTTCCAAATTCCCATATCTCCAAATCCCCATATCTCCAAAACCCCATATCTCCAAATCCCCATATTTCCAAAGCCCCATATTTCCAAATTCCCATATCTCCAAATCCCCATATCTCCAAAACCCCATATCTCCAAATCCCCATATTTCCAAAGCCCCATATTTCCAAATTCCCATATCTCCAAATCCCCATATCTCCAAAACCCCATATCTCCAAATCCCCATATTTCCAAAGCCCCATATTTCCAAATTCCCATATCTCCAAATCCCCATATCTCCAAAACCCCCCCAAATCCCCAAATCCCCAAATCCCCAAATCCCCAAATCCCAAATGCCCCAAATCCCCAAATCCCAAAATCCCCCATCTCTACATTACAAAATCCACAACTAAACCCAACCCCAAATTTCCTAACCCTCCAAACCTCCCCACAAAACAACCTCGCACTAACTCACTCTCTTCTCCCACATTCACCATAATATCCCCCGAGTATATTTGCCAGTGACTGTACAAAGTAGAAGAGTCAGCGTGAGGTCGATGTTGGCCCGTTTTACTTCTCCGCTCGAACGATGCCAGACGAGGATGGCTGATCGAAGAAAATCGGTCTCCGAGTGTTTGGGCCGACGTGAAATCTTGATCGCCACGCGAGGCCACTCAAGGCTCGGTTTATTTATTTCTCTCGTAAAACCGGCGTCGTGACGCTACTTCCGTTTCACACCGGGCTCCGACCACGCCACGATAAAACAGCGAGCCGGTCGACGTGAAAAATTAGAAGAATGTAACGGCGCATTGTAAAGTCGCTTTATCGAGCTCCTTGCGTTTCGTCTTTTTCCAATCCCCCGCGTTTTTCTGCTCTTTCGCCGGCCGTCCTCTTTACTCCGCCACCGAAACGACGATTAGCTTCCTCTCGACGATCTGCGATAAAATGTTACGGTTTTTTAAACGTTTGAAAGCGGTGGAGGTAGACGGCATTCTACGAGGGTGCACCCTTTATGAGCGGTAAACTGCTTCTTTTCTCGACAGGAAGGAAATTTGTTGAATCGGGGTAGTCTGTTGTTATGATTATGGTGGTGGTTGTTTAGGGATTTGGCGACTTTGTAATTTTTGTGGATGGGGGTTTTGGGGGGTTGGGGGATGGGGTTGCAAGTTTGAGGGTTTGGAATTTAGGATTCGGGAATTGGGGGACTTGGGGGATTTGGGGGATTTGGGGAATTTGGGAAATTTGGGATTTGGGGAATGTGGGAATTGGGGAATGTGGGAATTGGGGAATGCGGGAATTGGAGAATATGAGAATTGGGGGATTTGGGGGATTTTTTGGGATTTGGGGATTTGGGGAATTTGGGATTTTGGGGAAATTGGAATTTGGGGAATTTGGGATTTGAGAATTGGGGATTTGGGAATGGGGAATATGGAAAATTAGGAATTGGGAAATTATGGAATTGGAAAATTATGTAATTGGGGAATTAGAGAATTGGGAAATTATGGAATTGGGAAATTATGGAATTGGAAAATTATGGAATTGGGAAAGTATGGAATTGGGAAATTTTGGAATTGGGAAATTATGGAATTGGGAAATTGTCGAATTGGGAAATTATGGAATTGGGAAATTGTCGAATTGGGAAATTATGAAATTGGGAAATTATGGAATTAGAAAATTATGGAATTGAGAAATTGTGGAATTGGGAAATTAAGGAATTTGGAAATTTGAAATTTGTCAATTTATTCACAAAAATCCCAAAAAATACTAAAATAATTCCACTTCCCAATTTCTCCCCAAATAAAATCTAAAAATTCGCAAATTTCACCTCATCGCGTTTCACATCTCCCCAGAGTCCCCGACTGTTTTTCCATATAGAATTCATGCTCCCAATTTCCGATGATCCTACACAGAACGGCGTTAACGCGTCGAAATTGCCTCCATAAATGTATTTCGAATGCTCCGGTGTTAAAACATCGGGACACAGATTGATTCCGAATGTTCGAAACTACTGTAGGGGATGTAATGAAAATTGTTAAACGTTTTCGTGCCAAGTGCACATTTTTTCGATTAAAAATAAAAAACAATTAACTGACACGAGTGGATTATACAATCGAAACGAACAGGAAAAAAAAAGAATTTACACGGTGACCCAGTTTCATTCGATTCGACGGAAATAAATTTCAGGATCATTTTTTTCTCTCTCTCTCTCTTGTTTTTAATTCTGTGAACGATGTATATTCACATCGTTGTAGAAAGCAGTATTTTAATTTCAAAACAGACTCCAGAATTCTTCTTTCTTCCTTTCTTTCTCTCTTTTTTTTTCTCTCTGTTCTTTTAATTAGCATACTTAATGGTCGAGCTGGAAGTTCCGCGATTTGCATCGTTTCAACGTCGACGATTGATTTATTCGCCGTTTATGCCGCGCGGAATAAAGCTACCGGTTAACCGGTATTTTCTATTAAAGCGACCACGTTTGGCATAGTTACAGCAGCGGGAGAGGGTCAGGAATATTTAGAGGTACTAATAGGTGTTCTGACTGCCATTATCCTGCTTCTTCTGTTGGTGTTCGTCATTATTCTGCTTCTGAATCGACGGCAAAAACTCCAGAGCTCGCCGACCGTGCTGAAAAATCCATTTGGATTCGCCATAAACATGAAGGTAAGAGAACCACCGCCTCATAAATATGCGAAAACTTTTCTGGCCCGATAGAACCTGGATTTTAATTCGTCATTAAAAGTCTGAAAACTTTGTCATCCCACGATGACACGATCGACGTCAGAGTATTTCGTTTCAAACCACCGCTTCCTGTTCTACCCGCATTTACCATTTTCTTTCTTTTTTTTTTCATATTTTTTAACCTGTTTGCTCGCATACTTTTGACCAAGCTAACCAATTACAACTCGCTGAAAACCCCGGGCTTAATTCCGAAACTTCCTAGTTACGGACTTTTTACATATTTTTAAACTCCGCGAAAGATTCTTTTTGACTCGGAAAATATCGCTGTTATTTCGGGTAAATAGAAAGTACAAACCATTTTAATTTTCCTCTTTTACGTGCGTTGATTACTTTTTCATTTTAGACGTTTTTTGTTACGCTTTAATACTGATATTTATTACTGTTATCATTTGTTGTTAATTTTAATTAAATCGTTGGTACAAATTTTTTTGATTTTTTTAAATTCAATAATTAAGTAGAACATGTCTTATTTTAATGAACTTCATAAAAATATTTTATTTTTAAATGAGGTCCTTTGTAGGTCTTTTATTTTTTATCTGCAAAAATATATATACAAGTTTTGCTACTATGAATGATTATTTACAATAAAATTACAATAATAAAATTTGCATTAGGTTGTACAATTTTTTACGTTATATAAATCATGCAATTTATTATGTATATATTTTTGCACACCCCCAGAAAATGCACTCACCAATAATTAATCAAAAGCCTTTGATCAAACACCTTTTTCAAATCTAGTTTATACAAAAGTCACATTTACCAATTTATCCAATGAATAATTATTTATTTACAAATATTGCAAGAAAATAAAGAAGCGAACTCTGTTTTAAAACGATAATAAATGAATGTTTTAATAAATTTTCCAGGGACTCCTCCTGAATCTAACCCCCGGCGGAATGCTGGCAGAAACTGCCAATCACGTATCACCGGACATACCGGAAGACGGAAGCATGCACGAGTCTTTGACAATGGAACAATTCAATTCACCTCTCGTCAGTCCGCAGTATAAATCTACGTACGCGATCGTCGCCACTTCCGGTGAGTTTTTGAACCGCGACGCTGTTTCTTACGTCTCGAAGGGTGACGAAAAAATTGATGTCCCTACACACGTGGCCCGTGCAAGAATTTATGCAAACGCATGCAAATTTCGTGGGAACTGAATTTCATTCTTTAACGTGCTACGTAAAAAGTGTAACAATACTGATGTACATTATGAATGATATTTTTGATGATAAACAATGCTGAACAATGTATATCTTTATTGAGTATCTTCATTGAAGAATAAACGTTCTTCCTAAACAATGTATATCTTCAATGTATATCTTCAATGTACATCTTCAATGTATATATTCATTGAAGAATAAACATTCTTCCTGAAGAAAGTATGTCTTCATTGAAGAATAAACATTTTTCCTGATCAATGTATATCTTCATTGAAGAATAAATGTTCTTCCTGAGCAATGTATATCTTCAATGTACATCTTCAATGTATATCTTCATTGAAGAATAAACATTTTTCCTGATCAACGTATATCTTCATTGAAGAATAAATCTTCTTCCTGAACAATGTACATCTTCAATGTACATCTTCAATGTACATCTTGAATGTATATTAAACATTCTTCCTGAAGAAAGTATATCTTCAATGAAGAATAAACATTCTTTCTGAACAATGTATATCTTCAATGTATATCTTCAATGCATATCTTCAATGTATATCTTCAATGCATATCTTCAATGTATATCTTCAATGTATATATTCATTGAGGAATATCATTTTTATAATTTATTTTTAAGTCTCTTCAAAAAGCCTCATGTTTTAAAAAGTTTGTATATATTCATTGAGGAATATCATTTTTATAATTTATTTTTAAGTCTCTTCAAAAAGCCTCATGTTTTAAAAAGTTTGTATATATTCATTGAGGAATATCATTTTTATAATTTATTTTTAAGTCTCTTCAAAAAGCCTCATGTTTTAAAAAGTTTGTATATATTCATTGAGGAATATCATTTTTATAATTTATTTTTAAGTCTCTTCAAAAAGCCTCATGTTTTAAAAAGTTTGTATATATTCATTGAGGAATATCATTTTTATAATTTATTTTTAAGTCTCTTCAAAAAGCCTCATGTTTTAAAAAGTTTGTATATATTCATTGAGGAATATCATTTTTATAATTTATTTTTAAGTCTCTTCAAAAAGCCTCATGTTTTAAAAAGTTTGTATATATTCATTGAGGAATATCATTTTTATAATTTATTTTTAAGTCTCTTCAAAAAGCCTCATGTTTAAAAAAGATTGTATATGTTCAATAAAGAATGACAATAAAAATAAATGATTAAAAATGAACATTATTGAAGAGTCTCCAAAGGACCTGAAGGATGTAAACGTCTCAGAGGAGAACGTACGACTGGACACGAGGCCAGAATCGACCATAGGACCAACAAGCTGTTCGTCGTCTCCAACAAACTCTCCTGCCCGACACTCGCAGCATTACAGGACCCTTCAAAGTTACACGAGTCCAACTGCGAAACTCAATATCGCAGCCACGTCTAATCACCAACGGGATGTCGATCAGATCCACTCGAAACGCTGGCACACAGCTCCCAAAGAGAAACACAAGGTTCGTTCATCAAATACCAACTTCCGTCTAACAAACCGAATTGATCAATTAAATCTGTGTACAGGTCGATTAACTCTATATAGAGATCGATTAATTCTGTATTGAGGTCGAGTGAACTGCGTAACTGTCTGTGATAATACAATATTTACTTTGGGGTTTAAGTAGCGATTGTTGTAGTAAGGTCTTTTCTCAAATTTATTATTAAAGTAGAGAGATGTGTTAGTGATAAAACTTTTTATACTTTAGTTCATTTTTGAGAAGAATCTGAAATATCTTAATTCGATTCAAGCTTTATTAAATTTGACTTCGTGTCGTGGTGACATTTCCTCGGGATTCTACATGGAATCTAATAAAGGATTGCATGCTGAAATAAAAATATGGAATCTGGAATAAGGTAAACTTTTAACAAATTAGACTTCGACTGAAACTAATACATGAAATTTTTAATAAATCTCTACAATTGTAGAAAATGTATCAAACTCTACTTAAAAAAAATAAAATGAGCTGCATATATGCCTCCTAGAGAAATGAAACAATTGAACTAACAAATTATTATCGAACACATTAAATCTAGAATTTTAACTAACATACGTTAAGTAACATATGTTGACATTTCTGTGTTCAGTTTGTTAAACGAGATGCAATATATAAATAACCCATTGCAACATCAACCTGCATCGCGTACTGCATTTTACAGATACCTGCACCTGTCGTCAGCTGGAATATCGCACCCAGCATGAACAAACCGTACAAATGCAAGGAAATAGAACCCACAAATATACCACGACAGTGCCTACGTACCACAGAGAAGCTTGGTTCAAGAAATATCGGCGAGGTAGGTTCGCTAACATGTTCACAATGCGGGTCAATTTTGGTGTCAACGACATTGGTTGACACTTACGTTTACTTTGAAACTACGCTTCTAAATTATTACATTCCTAGACTTAGTCATTACTGTATCCCTAGAGTTATAGATTGCAAAATTTCTATATCTTTAGATTCATAAATAGATCCCTGGATTTCCAGATTGAGTGAAATTCTACATTCCCAAATTTTTATATTCCTAAATAGGAATTTCCCTAGATATCTACGTACTCAGATTCCCTTATCCCAATTTCTTTAGTCCACAAATTCTTATGGATGTATCGTCACATTCCTAAATCCTTAAGTGTGTGGTCCTCAAATATGTGGTCCTAATATGCATAGGCCTCGGAATCTTGCACCCCTAGATATCTGTATTCCTAGATCCCTAAACATCCCCATATTGCTAGATTCAATAGTACCTTACCTATCTCCCTAGATCCCTGTCTCCCTAGATCCCTGTGTCCCTAGATCTCTGCCTCCCTAGATCCCTGTCTCTCTAGATCCCTGTCTCTCTAGATCCCTGTCTCCCTAGATCCCTATCTCCCTAGATTCCTATCTCCCTAGAGGTCCCTATCTCTCTAGATCCCTATCTCCCTAGATCCCTATCTCCCTAGAGCCCTATCTCCCTAGATCCCTGTCTCCCTAGATCCCTATCTCCCTAGATCCCTATCTCCCTAGATCCCTGTCTCCCTAGAGGTCCCTATCTCTCTAGATCCCTATCTCCCTAGAGCCCTATCTCCCTAGATCCCTATCTCCCTAGAGCCCTATCTCCCTAGAGCCCTATCTCACTAGATCCCTATCTCCCTAAAGCCCTATCTCACTAGATCCCTATCTCCCTAAATCCCTATCTCCTATATTACTATATCCTCCACCCCATATCTCCACTTAAGTTACCTAACAACCAACCTAACAATGTCCCATATTTCTACATTCCTTCCGATATCTCCAAACCCCATACATCCACTTACCCTATCTAACAACTTCCAGCAAACAATATCCCATATTTCTACCTTCCCCAATATCCCACATTTCTATATCCAATATCTGTAAGTCCCTTACGTCAGCTATGGATCAATAAACGGTCCGCAACAACAATGATCCCATTTGATCATGAACAGGCGATAGTTTGCGAGGCTGTCGGGCTCGAGGACGTGATACCGGATGCCCCGAGACTCGTGGTGGCTCGCGTGCCGGCCTGCACCAGCGACATTCGAGCCGGTAGTGCGACGGAACAAATGAGAGAAGTCCGATTCCTGTCGAGCCTATCCGATCCGAACATGGCCAGGATCCTGGGAGTATGCACCATGGATCCAGTGCCGTGGACGATCATCGAGTACACGGAACTCGGTGATCTGGCCCATTATCTTCAGTACAGTGTGCCACTTACGGGAACGCTTAGGCCGAGCTGCAATTTGAAAGCCCTTAGGTGAGATACTCAAACTGCGTGACTTAGAACATCCTAAAACACGTACACCTCGATAACTACGTGCGAAACGTTACGACAATGAAATACCGGTACCGATTATGCTAATGAGTCGTGAATGAGTTATGATCTGCTCTACTGTCGGGACGATCGTTATTCAATTTGACGCTTTGCTCGATGTGGACGAGTATCTTTATACAGACAATTTTTATACAGACAATTCTGGTATGAATCATAACGTTGTTTTAGTAATTGCAGTTTTTGAGCGTAACATATAATTTGTAGTTGTATTTTGTAAATGTGTAACATGGTCCTAAATAGTCTGTTACTTCATGAATTAATTAGATCAACTTAAAATATGAAATGTTTAGACAAGTATCTGAGAATAAATTTCACATGTTACTAGTCAAAGTTGCCTGCCACACATGAACACCCTTATTCGACTTAAAAATTTTAAGACTCAGAAAAACTTCTGTAACATCCCCTTTTTCTAAGATCCTGTACAGTCTATTATTTCATGAATTAATTAGACTAGCTTACAATATAAAATATTTAGAAAAACATGATTTGAGAATTTCACATATGACCAGTTAAAGTTGCCTTCCATATATGGGCACCCCTATATCATCTAAAAATTGTAAAGCTTATTGAAACTTCTGTAACATCTCCTTTTTCTAAGATCCTAAGTCTACTATCTGATGAACTAATTAGCTTAGAATATAAAATATATAGAAAACCATGATCTGAGAATTTCACATGTTACTAGTAAAGTTGCCTTCCACACATGGACACCCTATATCACCTAAACATTTGAACGCTCAGATAAACTTCTGTCACATCCCCTTTTCCTAAGACGCTAAGTTTACTATCTGATCAACGAATTAGCTTAGAATATAAAATATATAAAAAACCATGATCCGAGAATTTCACATGTTACCAGTTAAAATTGCCTCCCACATATGAACATCCCTATACCACCTTAAAATTTGAACTCCCAGAAAAACTTCTGTCACATCCCCTTTTCCTAACAACCTAAACAGTCTATCTTTCCGTGAATAATATCCCATAAATAATTAATCCAGCGTAGAACATAAAACGTCCAAAAAAAGCATGATCTAACAATGAATTTCACGTGGTACCAGTCAAAGCTGCCTGCTGTACATGGGCACCCAGATAGCATCAGGCATGAGGTTCCTCGAGTGTAAGAATCTGGTGCACAAGGACCTAGCAGCCAGGAACTGTCTAGTGGGTCGTTCTTACACCGTGAAAGTGACCGACATAGCGATGTGCAGTGACCTTTACAAGAAGGATTACAGTGACATAGGCGGCAGACCACCGGCGCCAATTAGATGGCTGCCGTGGGAAAGCATTCTATTGGTGAGACTAAATCCATTTTCATTCCCCGCCGCTTCTAATCGCTTTTTAACGATCCAGTTCTTTCTGTAGAATCACTGTACCGGATAGAATCGATAATAATCTACTTGTCTTTCAATTTCAGGACAGGTACACTTGCTCCAGCAGCGTATGGTCATTCGCTGTTACTCTGTGGGAGGTGATGAGTTTGGCTAGGGAAAAACCGTTTCAACATCTGACCAACGATCAGGTCATACAGAATGCTGAACACATGTATTATGGAGCTGAGCTACAAGTAGGTTTTGGGTTTGGTGAGACGGTTTGGATGGTTTCAGTTTTTGCAATTTTTGGATTTAAGGAGGTAGGTTTGGAAGGGAGGAATTATGGGGTTTGGAGGTTTGGGAAGTTAGGGATTTTGAGGTTTGAGAATTTGGATAATTAGGAATTAGGAGTTTGAAAGGTAGGGGATTATGTACTTAAGGTTTAGGAAGTTGGGAATTTAGAGATTTGGGGATTTAGGGACTTGGGGTTTAGGAATTTTGGGATTTGGGAACTTGGGGATTTAGGTACTTAGATAATTAGAAGTTGTGGAATTTAAGGACTTGGGGATTTAGGGACTTAGGCTTTAGGAATTTGGGAATTTAGGAATGTGATAATTTATAGATTTGGGGATTCAGAGATTTGGGAATTTAGAGAGTTGTGCTTTGGAATTTGGGATTTAGGAATTTGTTAATTCAGAGACTTGGGATTTAGAGACTCAAGGTTCAGGAATTTGGGAATTCAGAAATTTAAACATTTATAAAAGCAGAAATTCCAAAATTTGCAAAAATCCAACCATCCTTCTACTTTATACTTCAACTAATTTTACACTCTACATTTCAGATATATCTCCCCAAACCAACGATGTGTCCAGAAGAAGTCTACCGAATGATGTGTTCATGTTGGCGAAGGGACGAGACCTCAAGACCGACATTCAAAGACATTTACACGTTCCTGAAGAGTATAATCGCGGACTATCGACCTGGTGCATAAAACGATCCCAGTTAACTGTGATACAACGGACAAAAAATGATTCCCATCTTCTTCCCTGCGAGGGAGAAGTAGATCTCTCGAGTTGAACTGTCCGAAAGTGTACAATCGTTAGTTTTAAACCTCGAGCCGCGTTGAATTTCGAGTTAATCTTGGCGAGGATCGAACGAGAAATTTTCACGCGACTCGATAAATCTTTCTGTTCTCGAATCTCTGACTCGCTATTCTGAACGCGAGAGAAATTGTATCGCGCTGAAATCTGATGACTTTCTGCTTTTCGATGAACACGTATGATCCTCGATATTTTCTAGTCAACTCGATCAATCGATTCCTACGAGAGTGCTGCTATCGTGTACAGTATCTGGACGCTACGATGCACTGATTAAGTCTATCCACTTGTAAATACGAGTATAGATACCGATGCTAGGTGAACGAGAGGAACTTTTATATTGTAGCTGGTGTTATTTGCAAAATTATAGGTCGAATGAATCAATTTTATTGTCTTATTTATTGTTGAATAATAATTCAATTATGTGGTTCAATTTTTCTGATACAGAAAGAGGAGCTAGCAGAAGTTACTACAAGATTTATAGGCTAGGTTTATTCTAATCAAATCCTGATTTATGGTAAATCAAGGTTTATGCTATCTAAACTGATTCAAATTTACTTCAGTGTTGACTAAACTCATTTAATTAATTTACTGCTGGCATTAACTATACTGATTCAATTTTATTACTGATTAGAATGATTGAATTTTGAAGATTGGTAATGCCTGAACTGATTTAATTAATGCACTGCTAGTACTAACTAAACTGATACAACTTTTACAATTAGACTAAATTAGTTTCATTAACTGTTAATTTAAAGATGTGTTTATACAAGTAAATGTGCAGATAATTAGCTAGAAATAACAAAGAGATCTGGCAAGTTATTTTCCTCACCTTAAAGTGCTTGTCAGACTACTTATCTGCCTGTTTGCCAAGATGGAATGCACCTTTAAGTTTGTAAATAATTGCTCCTTTTGTGTAAGGTTATAAAGATTTATCAGTTCAGTGAGTACTTTCTGAAATCTTTTGCATGGACAATCTATATGTAACCATTTTACATGGTAATAGTATGAAGTCATGAAGGATTCTAGTGGCGAAGAGAAATTTTCATGTATAATTTGTAAATGTTGGACCTTTACTTTGAATATAGTCATACACATGATTTTTTGTTACATTTGTGATCCATTTTGTGAATGAATATTTTTACATCTGGGTTTAGATATTTAATTATATTGTAAGGAGTAGTTTTATGTAAGAACTTATTCAGACTTTATATTTGAACAACTTTTATATGTTACGTTAAAGCTTATTTCTTGAGCTACTGGTAAATAAGTACAGACATTTGAATTTTTTAAACATCATGTCCTAACTTGAACATGAAATATTTTCTAAATTATCCAGCATCTATACTTTAAAATCATAGATAAAGAAATTTATAATATGATCCATCAACATGTTAAATCAGAAGTAGACAGAGATGTCACCTTATGTGAACACCTAAAAATGAGTACAAATAAGATTAGAAAGTATCAAAATCATCTAAAAAGAAGCTACTATTGAATTAGACTCTCAAGTTCAACATTGTAATTAACTCCTTACAGACAGAACACTAAATTGATCTTCAGAATAAATCATACTTAACTTCAACCCCTATTTAAGGTTACAGAAAGTTAAAATATATGTTGCTTTCTCATTTAAGTTAAATTGCATATCTTTTTTAATTAACAAATTTATCATTTTTACATTTACTAATTTTATCTGTACTTATAACACATGAAGAATTAAAATATACAAAATTATACTCAAATAGTTAAGACGTTAATTTACAGTTACTCTTTAAATCACATCCAGCAATAACATGTTTTACAAATAAAATTTCTCGATTTCAAAACACCAGCTACAACGAAAATTTCCGCTTACTTGTACATTCGAAGCCCGTACGTAGCAAAGTACTTATATCGTTCCATTGTGTATTCCTTTCCGTTCGAAAAAAAAAAGAATTCACCGTCGTTAGAGCGGGCGTAGATTCGAAACCCGATTCTCGATCTGTTAATCGCGAGAACGTAATTAATCGACACGCTCCTTCCTTTGATTTATCATTTAAGGACAGACAAAAAGGATCGTCACTTTGTCACGCTTCGAGAAGTGTCGATCCACGTTTTTAGGCTGCGTTATTCGAGCCCCCCGATGAAAAAAATTGCGAACAAACGTTTGAACGAAACGATATCGACCTGTTAGAACGGAAATCGTGACAGAACAAAATTGTGGATAACTGTTCACAGTTTTGGGACACAGAGAAAGGTGTATATACTTATACATATAGATTCGCTGTTGGTAAAGTGCCAAAAACAGAGTCAGCCGTTCAAACGTTCCCCTCTGCACGCATCTTTTCTGTAATTCTTAAGATGGATCCAAGTATACGTTGAAATGATTAACAAATAAAGTACTGAGTGTTCCTTTCTGATTTTGACTCTTATTTTCTTCTTTACGATTCACCTGTTTTGTATTATTATTGCTCGTTAACTTGATAAATGCTGTAGTATAGTACGTACACAATAACATATGTTATATTATAGACCTTTTCTCATTTCTATTAAAATTCAATCAGAAAATGTTATACTGTACTAACATGGAAAGTAGAGTCTCTCTATATGGCTATAAATAGCACTGGAACTAAAAAACTATGGGAGGTTAAATTTGCAAATTAATTACATTTTAACCATAAAACATTTAATATCCCCAATGACCCAGAAGTCAGCCAGTACAGCTTTTGTTGAAACCCAGGATTATCTCACAATTACGTAAACATAATTTCATGGAAATTCATTGAAATTTTATGCAATTAAAATGGAGGTTAACAATCGAGATAAGCATACAAAGGTTCACCTGCGTTATACCGCAAATAAATTCAAGATCATCTTCAAGAACAGTCTCTAATCTAATCGCACTATAAACAGCCTTCGAAATTTCCTTAAAGCGCGTTCACTTATTTAATATCAAAAATTAAATTAATCAAATCTGTTCCTCAAATATCGCCTTCGTGGAAGAGAAAATTATTAAATAAACAGTGCCGTAAAACAACAAGGTTAACAAAGATACACAACGCTAAATCTTACAAATATATGCAGATTCTTCAGAGAAAATAACTCTAAAGTAAAGAAGCCTTCTGCAGAAAATGATCGTACAAAATTTAACAAGTAAAATCAATTTCAAGAATTCAAAAAAGAAGAAAACATTATCGAAGGACTAAAACAGTTGGTCTTAAGTTGGAATGTCACTTAAATGCATATCACACGTATCCGGTAGCAAAGTGCTCTTTAGGCAAAAAAAAGTGAAACACCTATCACCGTTTCGATATCTAAAAAGGTTGTCAGAACAATCGTTACCAGAAACAGGTATGAGCAGCTCTCTTCAAGGTAGTTCCATTAGAAGAGAGACTCGGCTCATAAATCACTGGCGAAACCTTTTATCGGCACAATTCGGATAGCATTGCTCAGCATCGAGACAAGACTCATTAATCTTTCGCCAACCAAGTGAATGATCTGGCTCGATCATAGACATGATCGGAAAATTGATGGCGATTTTATGGGACCTTGAAAACACTCGGTGGAAACTTTTCTAGTATCTACTTCTGGAAATTTAATTAGCAGAGATGTATTGGCACAATTTTTCATTTTAGATACTGTCTTGTTATTTGCATTTTATATATCTTTTTAGTTCTTGCATTTTTTGAATGATTTTGTATATGATTTTTTATATGATTTTATATATGATTTTATATATGATTTTTTATATGATTTTATATATGATTTTGTATATGATTTTGTATATGATTTTTTATATGATTTTTTATATGATTTTTTATATGATTTTATATATGATTTTATATATGATTTTGTATATGATTTTTTATATGATTTTATATATGATTTTTTATATGATTTTATATATGATTTTGTATATGATTTTGTATATGATTTTTTATATGATTTTTTATATGATTTTATGTATGATTTTATATATGATTTTATATATGATTTTGTATATGATTTTACATCTGATTTTGTATATGATGAAGTAGAGTAACTGCACCGAGAGAACTCATTTTACTGCCTGATTATTTTATGTAATATAGTCATGTATTATATCATCATGTGTCTATTGATATGTTATATGTATATTGACGCACTGTATACATTGCACGCTGTGTATTCACACGCTGTATACTTGCACGCTGCATATCGACGCGTCGTATACTGGCGCGTCCTATATAGACACGTTGCACAGTCACACGCTGTATAATCGCACAATATAGTATTCTTCGTTTAATTGTTACTGAAACTAAAAAATTTAATATAGCCCTCAAACTAAACTACAATTAAAATTCTATAAAGAACTTTCCCAAAATGCACACCTAATATCTAAAATAAAAAACTGCAAAGAGAAGAACTCCCGCTAGAATAAACCTTGAATGAACGAACCTTGAAAAACCAGTACAAATTAGCAGAAGTACAATAACAAAGCGTCAAAAAAGAAAATACAAGCAACACAGAAAGAACGGGAAAAGATGGCAGTATATTGCACTCGTATCACAGATTAAACATTAATTCTCTGGTCAACACGCTAAACAAGCATCGCATGAGTCGATTGTTTACACGAAGGGGAAGCACAAAGGTGCGCTTTACTCTGGAAATCACCGAACGATCGATCGCATCGCTCCAAGACAGTAATTAACATCGTGTTCGTACATTGGTCCCGTAGATAATGAAATGCACGACGACGAAACGGTTTCGACGTGTGCGTGTCGCGTAACGTCGGACGCTTACGTTTATATAATGCCACGGCCGGGAAAGTGAGACCATTGAATCGTCGACTGTCAAAGAGACACGCGTTCCACGTACGACAACATGAAGTTCTACCTGTCTCTTCTTCTCGTCGTCCTCGTGGCCATTCCTCGACATCCAACAGGTTAGTCTGCGTAAGAACGTCCAATCAGCGTTCCTCGAATTAATCATCGTTTTATAAATTCATCGGCGACTTCCAATTAATCAAATGGTCTTTTTTATTTGCGATGTTTATTATATTAATTATGGAGAGACTTTTATTTTTATTTATTGTAAGGTTAGTTTGTATCTTGTGGGAGATCGGACATTTACATATGACACTGATGTGTTTATTAATTTGATGTGAGAGATTTTCTTGCTGGTTTTAATAAAATGTTTTATTATGTAATTTTATAATGTACGGTGTATTAATGTACTGCATGAAGGCGACTTTGTATCGTTTTACGACTTGAAGTAAAATATTTTGAAATATTTTCTTGAATGAAAATGTTTAGATGCATGTACAAAGCTAAAATAAAATTTCAAAAAAATTTTAAATGTTTAGAATCTTAATTTTTGATCGTTCATTCAGGTGTTTAATTTCTGATTTTTTTTCATTTTATTCAAGTATGTATGATGTCTAATCATCTTACTTCTTTTACTCACTTCTTTCATATTCTTTCAAAAATTTTTTCTTTAAACAAAAACATTGACTATTAATTTGTTGCCGAAATTTTTTGAGAATTGATGGATGTTCATCATACATTTTCAGCTGCAAACAACGTGTGTCCACAAGAAAACTGTCTGGATTCATCGAAATGTGAGTCCGTGGTGACTGGAGGAACGTGTCCACAGTCTACAGACACGTGCTGCAGCATCGGTAAATGTTTCACCAAAAATAATACCAAAAAATATATGCTAACAATATTCCAATATTATGAACATTAATTAACAGTATTTTAAGCTCCATAAAAATCTGAAATATTCACATGTGGATGTAGATTTCGCAAATAGAAATCGGTAACGTTTGAATCTGGCGCCACAATAAACGTATATTCCTACAAATGTTAATTTTTATTCTCATACCGCCAACAGGCGGTCGTTATTGATATCCGCGAGCCAGTATGGAAATGGCACGCTTTCGTTTATTGGCGTCACGATAGAAAACACATGGGACGAGAGCAATTAGGAGGCAGTAACGTTAACGTAACCACTCGTTACCGATGGATATAGCAATTTCACGCCACACCACTCGCACACGCAACACCATCATTTCTAGTGTGCCAAATCGAATACTCTCGAGATTCACTTTTGTGCGCCATGAATTTCGAACGAATCGCTCGACTAGTTAATTCATGCGTCACCGATCGCACTTTCACGAGACATGTCGCTACGTTCCTGTCCATTATTCCACCTACTCTGTTTTCATTTTACTCGTACATTCTCGTAGTCACTAATTTTCAAGATTTTTAAATTTGTTACTTCGGTGTTGCGAGTTTGTTCATTTATGATTTGTGAATTTCTGAGGTTTCAAGTTTTGGGGTTTTAGAAATTCATTGTTTTGAAATTTTTGGGTTCAATGTTTTTAAATCAGCAAAGTTAGTAAATTGTTCATTTTTAAAGATTATGTATCTTTAAATTATTGGATGTCGGAATTGATATGTTCTCTAATTGGCAAAGCTCAAAATTGTCAAATCGTTCATATGACGTCAAATTCTCAAATTCACAAGTTACTATATATCCAAATACTCAAGTCATCAATAAGGTGAATCCCAGATTGATCAATTCACGAAATGACAAATCTCACATTAGCTAGTTCCCAAACTCCTAAATCTCCCAATTCCTAAATCCCAAAATTGTCAACACCCAAACTCTCACATTTCCAAATCCCTAATTCCCTAAATACTAAATTGATACATTCCTAAACTGACTAATCCCCAAATTAATAAATCCCTAAATTGACAAACTCTCTAACTGCCAAACCCCAAAACCCCCTACATCCCTAAAATCCCCAAAATCTCCAAATCCTCCAAGTCCCTAAAATCCCCAAAATCCCTCAAGTCCCTACAATACTCCAAATCCCCCAAATTCCTAAAATCTCCCAAATCCCTCTAACCCCTAAAATCCTCAAAATCTCCTAAATCCTCAAAATCTCCCAAGTACCTAAAATCCCCCAAATCCCTCAAGTCCCTACAATACTCCAAATCCCCCAAATTCCTAAAATCTCCCAAATGCCCCTAATCCCTAAAGTCCTCAAAATCTCCCAAATCTCCCAAGTCCCTAAAATCCCCAAAATCCCCAAAAACCCCCAAAAACCCCCAAAATCCCTCAAGTCCCTACAATACTCCGAATCCCCCAAATTCCTAAAATCTCCCTAATCCCCCTAATCCCTAAAATCCTCAAAATCTCCCAAATCCCCAAACTCTCCCAAGTCCTTAAAATCCCCAAAATCTCGAAATCCTTCAACTCTCTGCATGCAACAATTTTCCCCAATGACCTTAAAATCTATTATTCCAAATCTCCCACCCTAAACATTAAAATGTCTCTGTTCGCAGTTAAAATGGAGCACAGAACGCACTGTCGTCACTTCGCAGGCGAGTGCATGGACCGCTGCGCCGTGGCTTTGCAAAACCCAGTGGACGACTGTCCAAGTGACAAAGTCTGCTGCACGTTAGTCTAAACGACCAAAGATATCAGTCACAAATGAGGATAGAATGATAGAAAGGCTGTATATCCGTTTTTGTAGCATTAAGGCAAACGATTAGTTTACGACGTAGACTGCAACATGTTCGATCGCAGCATGCATCGTAGTTTTCTATGTACTGATACCAACCCATGAGTTCGCGCGTGGAGTCAGAGAAACTTCTATTGGTTCTCTTTATTATACAAGCTAGAGACAACTCTCATTTATTATACAAGCTTGAGAAACAACTCCTCTCATTTTATTTGATGCAAAGTCAAAAAGCTATGTCTTCTGTAAAAACTTCTAGTGTTACATTTCGGTCAATTAAAGTAATAATTGCAATAACAGCTGCTGGAGGCTATTCGCGCTATCTCACAAAGTTTCACTCTATCTCACTTGTCAAAATTTGTCGACTATCATTTTCTTTTTTGATCTAATTGGTGCGTGACCACAAGAACCAATATCAGAAATACCTCTGAGGCGTCCATTTTCTATTCTGACCACTTTGAGGCTCCTCTAAATCCTCTTCACGCGCCAACTCAAGGGTTGACATCGATACACGAACGATAGAAAAGTTGCTTAATTGGTTTTACAATTACAACGGAAACGGCTGTTCGAGTACCCGTATAGCGAATGAAAAATCGTACCCGCCTGAAGATAATTGCACGAGGACCTGTCACGGATGTGGGACTCGTAAAAATTGCTACCCAATGTAACATCGTTATTCGCATAAACGGTTCCGTGAATCGACACCATCATTGCGTGCGTTTATTATTGTGCGGCGACAAACGAGCAGATTTGTATGCACAAGTAATTACAATGGTCAATGATTAAATGGGTATTTTTAATAAAATATTTTGTTTTATGTGAAATTTGTTGGACTTTTTTATTATTTGTCTAAGTTGCTCCACGTCCCTAAATTGCTACGTACCTAAATTCCTACGTCCATAAACTCCTACATCCCCAAATACCTATGTACGTCCCCAAATCTCCACGTCCCCAAATCTCCACGTCCCCAAATCTCCACGTCCCCAAATCTCCACGTCCCTAAATCGATACGTCCCCAAATCGCTATGACTCCAAATCTCCACGTCCCTAAATTCCTACGTCCATAAACTCCTACATCCCCAAATACCTACGTCCCCAAATCTCTACGTCATCGCTACGTCCCCAAATCGCTACGTCCCCAAATCGCTACGTCCCCAAATCGCTACGTCCCCAAATCGCTACGTCCCCAAATCGCTACGTCCCCAAATCGCTACGTCCCCAAATCGCTACGTCCCCAAATCGCTACGTCCCCAAATCGCTACGTCCCCAAATCGCTACGTCCCCAAATCTCTATGTCTCCCAAATTTCTACGTCCCAAAATCCTTACTTCCCTAAATCCCCACGTCCCAAAATCTCCACATCCCTAAATCCCCTCCTCCCTAAATCTCCACATCCCCAAATTCCAAAATTGAAATCCTCCCAAAATCTCATCACACATCCCAACACACAGCCCATGTATTGTCCTCGCAGGACAATCGACCCGCCCACCTCAAACCCGAACGATACCCTCGTCAATATGAATCGTGCACAAAAGACAACGAGTTAAAAAAGTGCCGGAAGAGGAGCAAGAAAATAAAGAGAAGCAGGAAGAAATAAGAAACATGGAGGAGGGAGGACAAGTAGCCGGAAGCAATGCAGCTAGCGCGTTTGACGATGCATGAACACACGCATACAAGATTTACAGCCGTGTTGGTTAGCCCTGAAGGGTCACTCGAATGTTATACAACAGAAAAAGATGATGATCCCCTGGTTCAACTATCATTGACCGTCTAACCACGAGATAAAGAACCACGGGAAACAATAACGCATTTGTCTATACGTGTAGGACTAGAATTTTTGTTATAAATCATACAATGCAATGCTTGTTCAATATTTTTAAGATATGCTTTAGTTACGTCTTCAATTTTTAGCTTCAATCTGAAACATGTTTGATTTAGGTTGCAGAATTGAAGTGAGCTGAATAAATATTTTTGAAAAGCATTTCTGTATTTTAAATCAAAGTAAAGGTGTTCATTTTTAAGTTGTGGACATAAATTGAGGTTACGTATGATAATAGAAGAGGAAGATAAAAATACATTTTTTCAGGTTGAAATGTTTAAAGATGTATTTAGAGTACTTGTAAAATATATTGGAGTACTGGTGATTAATTTAGAGCGGTCTTTTGCTAACAAGTTTGCTAACAATAGTTTGACGTCGGCAGTAAATTATCTTCAACAAATTAGCTGTTGATTCAACAGGTCATTATTGAAAGAATAAAATAAACCCGTCAATAAAATCTTTTAAAATACTAAAGTAACTAAAATTACATAACATCGTGTCTTCCCTCAACACCTCTTCTTTCATAATTTCCCTAAGAACCTCCTAATATGACCCCATACTCAACATAACCTACATCTGAACTCTAACCTGAATTCGAGCATCTCTTCCGTAAATTAACACCGCATTATAGAATTATTAGGGCACAAAGAGCCGAAAATGGTCCGTGACCAAGGAGAAGAAGAAACGGGAAAGAGGAGATACCTTGCCCCAGGCCATACACGCTGAACATGTGACACTAAATATAGAAACGCGATGTGGATACGGCATCGGAATTCTTCGAAAGGTAACAGAACAAACATGCTCGTTTCGACGAAATTTAAATATCAAGAATGTTACGTAGAAAAACGCATAATTAATACTGAAACGACATTTGTGAGATGTGTTAATAACGGAAGAATAAATGATTACAGGTTATGTCGATGTTCGAAGCACGTGTGGAGACTTTTGAATGATTTACGGAGTAGTCTCGCTATATGGCCTCTGTTACGAGTTTGAATAATTTTTATTTATTTCATGCAAATCACTGGTGCAATCGTATACAAAAATCTGGAAAACTGTATCTGTTAAAGATATTAACAGTAATTTATGGAGAGTAACATATTTTGTAATTTGCAGTTCATCGCTTATTAATTTAATAGGGCTAGCATCAAATCTCCGTTGAATTAAGGTTCATCACGTGACTTTCCGAAACACGTTGAAAACACATGGATTTAATCCCAGACTCGAGTGGTTATCCTTGACGCGTAACCTTCCCACACCATACCTCCCAACGAATCTAATTCGCATTCGATGAAAAGAAGTATCAAGGTTGCGAATTTGGAAATTCGGATAGCTTCAAAATTTGAAGATGCAGAAATGAAGAAACCTTCGAATTGATACTGTCACATTAGTTTCATGACACAAATTAAAACCTACTTTACTATTAAAACCTAGTAAAGACTTGCAAGAAGAAGAAACTTCTGAAAATATGGGAAAGGAAGTAAAAAGGAAGAAACAGTCCATCAAGCAGCGATAAGTCGAGTTGCAGAATTTATTCAAACGTTGAAAACCGTCTCAAGGGACGAGAGGACCACGGACGACGATAAAAAGAAAGGCTGCGGTCGAAGGGGCTGAAAGTGCGACGCAGGCGGGCGTTAAGTAGAAGAAGGGCAGAGAAAGCGGGCAAGAGGAGCCGGTAGGAGGAGAAGAACGAGAAGAGGAGCAGCAGGCACGGTCCGTCGTGAAGTCGCCCCGGGCATCACGGAGCGTATTGTCTCGCTGGATGTCCGCGGGGCATCTTTCCGTGCACTCGCCCTTCCTCCGTCTCTCGTCCCCGCGAAGAGCCGTGGGTGGAGAACGAAGCTCGCCGCTATCTCCTCTCGTTTCCGTGCCCGCAGCGGAACGACCGTTGCTCCGCCGCTCTTCGTGGTGGGGTACACCTCCGCGTCTTGCCCCCGGGGCATCCTCCACACAACGACGGTGGCCGGGAGTGGAGGGCTCGGAAAGGGGCCTCCTTCTTCTTCTACGCTGCATGATTCCGCGCCTCCGCCCCCGGGCTAACCGAAACGGCTCTTACGTGTGTGTACATGTACGTGTGTGTAAGTACACGTACCACCGTACTGGCATCTGCCTGCATTGCCCCGGGCAAGGTGTACCTCTTCTTCATCATCTTCTTCTTCCTCGTCCTCGTTGTTATCTTCTTCTTGATAATTCCCTTCTCTTTGCGTTATAGTTTCGTGCTCGATCGACCGACAGCGATTCCTATCTATGATCTTTCATCATCGACTGATCATTCTGCAAATCTTTCCGGTTTTCTAGTTAACAGGACCCTTCATTGATATCGGGGGATCTTCGGCTTAACAGGAATTGATTTGTGGTGATCCTAGTAATTGAGGAATTGAGGGGCGTGGCGAGGGTGGGTGGAGCGACACAGTGACACGCCTACGCGGATTCCTACAGCTCATCTTGTGGCGAGTGCGTAGTACAGTAGCATGCAAAGTAGGACTTTTGACACGATATGTAGAGCTCGACATTTGTAGCTCCTCTAATTTTTGTGAAACTTCTACCAAATTCCTGATGTACCACATCTATAAAGCATCAAGTCTCCGAGTCCCTTATGTCTTCCTGCTCAACTCTACGCACCCTCAAATTCATGTCTGTAGTTTCTAGAGAGTTTCCACAAGATTCGATCACTTGATTTGTTCATACCTTGCTTTACCGCAGTTGCATCAGTCAGAGACAACTGTCACAACATCGAAATGGACACAACAAAGTCGAAATGAAAAAAAGTTAATATATATCCAGCAGTTAACGGTCTATAATTATTCAAATCATAGTTGGTATTGAACTGAAAACTGTAGAATCATACTAGGATTCAATGTTGCCACATTTGAACAGTGCGTCACGATGTTACAAGGTAGCATCCTGTTTACTCATCTGCTGACATTAAAATATGCGAGAAATGACGAAGATAAATAGACAGGATAAAAATCGACGAGATGAAAAGAAGCGTCGCGATCATTTTACATGAGATGGTAACACGAATTTCGTTAGCCTTGTTTCTGTGGAGAGCGTGGCTTCGTCTTTCGGCGTAATAAAGTGCACTACGGATTCTGGTGGCTCCTCTTCGTTGCGACGCTCTATATTTGTCTTCCCTTCTTTTCCGTGGCCCTTTGCCTCTCGCCGTTTCTCGCTCTCTACCTTTTCGTCCTGCCTAGCCTTGTATGCTTGCTCGGAGGGAGTAACGATGCCCCCGGGCGCAGCTCCGCGGTGCGGCTCCGCGGTAACGATAAGCAACGAAATGAAATATTAATGAAGTACCTGAGCTCGCGACCATTTTTCGCGGCCGTCTCACCAGCGATGCCTCGGGTGCCGGAGGAAAAAGTCCTCAGAGACGCAGAAGAACCAGAAGAAGAGAATCGTCGCCGACGTGGAAATAGAAAAAACGAACTGCTCCAAACTGCCGACGAAAGGGTGTTCGGGGAAAAATAATTGATGACGCTTGCAGATTTTGCGATATGCAATGAATCTGATCCTTCATGGTTAGATACACGGTGCTCGACGTTTGACGCTGATTGGACAAGTTTGACCGAAGGAAAACCGACGCTAATACAGTCCTTCCACTTCGACTTCTTACTCGGATGCAATTACCTGCGACGTATCGGGTGTTCTTCTTATTTCATACTTTCGCAGAAAATCTTGTACGTTAACTGTAATTTTTTGGACATCTTCAAGGTTTAATGTACTTACGATAGAAGGTAATGTAAGTCTCTGTGGCTGTTGGAAACCCTGGGCATCCACAGACTGTTATATGATTAATTTCTATCACCACATTACCAATAATAAGTGATCCACCAATACAAGATCATTCATATCTTTCATATTTTTCAAAGCTTGCAAACTTATCATAAATTCTAACCTCATCTATCACACGTGATCTTGTTTAAAAGACCCTTAAGAAGTATAACATCCACAATAATTTATCACATAACATAATTTATCTTATAACACATGTTCCCATTCGGTAACATTTGTTCCTGAAATTTTGTATGATCAGACACCTTGTATATGAAACCGATCAACGTTGATTCGTCAAGGCAAGCACGAATCATTCGAAAGGGTTAATCCGTCTCGATATATCATTCGAGCACCGATCAAGCAGTGTCGGTCGGCGACACGTCGATCATGGTTTTTGCAGGCAAAACCTGGCAATTAACGATCGACAGCCGTGTTTCCAGGTGGAACGAAAAATTTCACCGTGACTCTGTCGCTCGTAAAGCGTCATTTGCCGCTGCCACGCCTTCTGCACCTTCAAGTTTCTCCTCCGAGAAAGGGGGACGATATAGAAGAGCAACGATAACGAGACTTCTGATAAACAGGGAACTCTTTCGACACCCCGATATGGGACACGGGAGATAACTTCATTGTTCATGCAAATTCTGTTAACGTAAAATTTAATTGGGTACTTATTTTGGGGAGTATTATACTGACAATATTTAGGATATTAAGGAGTATTGAAGTTAGTGTAATTTAGATCTGCAACTGACAAACTTTTGAGTTAGATTATTTATATGTGGGATATGGGAGATAGATTCACTGTGGATGTTCATGCAAATACTGTTAATTTAATTGTGCTTATTAAAATTTCATTGGGTACTTATTTTGCATTTAGAAGGATAATGAGGATTATACTGAGCTAGGTTAATATAATTTAGATCTTTTGCAACTGACAAATTTTTGAGTTAGATTATTTATTTTGGGGGCGCGGTGAGATAGCTTCACTTTGGATGTTCATGCAAATACTGTTAATTTAAATGTTCTTATTAAAATTTCATTGGGTACTTATTTTGCATTTAGGAGAATATTGAGGAGAATTATACTGAGCTAGATAATATAATTTAGATCTTTTGCAACTGACAAACTTTAGAGTTAGATTATTAACAATTAAAAGGATGAAATATTTGGAGTGTTTCAAAGGTTTTGATACTTGATATTCACATGTACGAATTTATTTAGAAATTTTCATAAGATCTTGGATAGTTGCTTTCTTCTGCTTGCAATGTTCCCTGTAGACTCTAAACCAAACGATTTGACCCACAAATGGAAGGTCGATGAAAATTGACCGAGGTTGAAAATTCCGCGGCCGTAGTTAAGCGCATAAACACCCACAGAACCCGTAGCAAGCTAATTCGACGAAGCCGCGTTTTCGCGAACAATGCATGAAAATAACCCATTGCACACTTTTACCACGGCGGTTCATGTCAGCGTGGTTGCATTGCGATGAATGCGAGATACCCCGGGCAATTCCCTAATTGCAGTGAGAGGCAAACGAAACGCGAGGGCGATAGAGAGAGAGAACGAAACGTGGACGGATAGGAATATAGCAAAGAGAGAAACAGAGAAGACTATGTGTCCGCTCTTCTCAGCTACGCTCGGAGCGCTCCGCAACGTTCTCTTTCTATCCGCTTCGCTTCGGTGTGCATACCGTTCTGTATATACGCGTTTCACCTTCCTGCTTATACCTTCGTCTCTGTTCCTGTGATCCTCTATCCTTTCGCGACGTGTGCAAGCGTTTCGAACCCGCTCGAACGCCCCCGCGAGCCAAACACGGGCCATCGCCTTCTTCTTATATCACCGTCTCGCTCGATCTTCACGATCTTCACGAGTCGCCCGGGGACTCGGTCTCTGCCTATAAGCGGACTTCAACGGAAGAAAAGGAAACAAGCTATGGCTTCACCAACGTTTCCACCGCCTTTCCTTTCTTTCTGCTCCACCTTCTTCCTCGTTTTACTCCTCTTTGTTTCTAGTTCTACCGATGATGGCTTCTTGATCTTGATGCGAGGGCTACACCTGGCTGATCGCGAATTATGGCGATCGATACAATGTTGAAGTCATGGGAACGCTGGTTTTACTTTTCGAAAAAATTCAATATGTAGATAATGGCGGAAGAGGCTGTGATTTGTAGCTTTAAGTTGGGTGAATCACCTGGATTGAGCTTGTTAGTGGATTAGACTAGATCCACACGTGTGGATGAGACTAGGTTCACACATGGATTAGGTTAGGTTTGACGAAAATTGGATATGTGGACATCACGTGGTTGATGAAAGTAGCATGTTTGAGTAACACGTACCTTATTTTGATACGTTATTAACACGAATAGAGTTGTGAATAAAGTTAGGTTAGTGCTAATGAAATGTGGACAATGTGAGATGGAACAAGGTTTCTGAATAATTCATGTATATCTGTTTCTTTAGAACACGTGTGTATGATTGATCTACATGTGAATGCGTTATGTTAATTTTAAAGGGAAATGCATATGTGAACAATGGCTGAAGGTGTGCCTTCAAGTGACATGTCTATTAGTCACTCTTAATTTTATTAATTGTTATCATTGAAATTTTGTTAACATTTTTATTAGAATGAATAATATGAATATTGTTCATATACATGAACAAAGTTATTTCAATATAAAAATAAATATTTGAAACTGCAATTCACCTACGTCAGCCGAAGAGTTTGTAATTCAGAAAAATGTAAATGAACTTGTTTTCCTTGCTCTTAATTTTCACTCTCGATCGCACAATCGATTTATCACGAATCAGTGGTCTGTAAATAAAGTGCGCTTAAATTAATCACACTGGTGTGTTGACATCGATTGCACGATCAGATAAGAGATCGATATCGATAAAGGGGTGAACCAGTTCGTAAATTCTTCAAGGATGATGAAGTATAAATTTGGAAGTTTGGGAATTTAGGGTTTGGAGATTTTGGGATTTAATGATTTGATGATATGAAGATTCATTTGTTAAAACATTAGTTAGAACGTTTGAAAATATAGATATTGACCTCTTAGCTTACAATGACGCTTTAGAGACGTCGTAAGTCTACCTGGCCAAACATAAACAAAACAATCTTGTTGTTTATAGCACGCACAGTTGAAAATCATAAAGCAATGTGTTAAAAAATTTGCAATCTCAAAAACTCAGAAACTAGTACATTAACAACCCCAAAACTTTAAATACATAAAAATGTAAAGTATCCAATCCTTCCACATTTTCGAGCATCCAAATCTCCATAACCTAAAAAGTATCATGTTGAAGCATTATAGTTGCATCCCCTAACACCTATTTCTATGTAAAGAAAACGTTCATTGCACCCGAGTGTACAGTTTTCTAAACCGCACACCTCGGCATCTCTCCGAAACGAAAAACTTCGACACTCGCGGGTAAATCTTGTTTCAGTGAGCGTAGAAAAGTACTTATGTACAAGCGGAAAGATGGCTGAGTTTAAAAGCCCATCGTGGGCCGGTGGTGCTGGTTAATGGAGTGGTTATGGGAGAATTATTAGACGAGTGTGTGAGATTAATTGCAGTTAAGCCTCCTCGTTAAACTCACCGAACGGATTGAATTATAGCCGTCGGTGACGATAAAATAAACCGGCGTTATTACACTGTAATTTTCTTCGCCCTCTTTATTCGGTTACGTTTTGACTTTTGACGTTTACTTTGTCCCATTGTGCTCTATTGTTCTTCAAATTTAATTATATATTTACGAAGTATAATTCTGTAGTTTGTTTTAAAATCGAGATCATTGGACTCATCATATATCATATTTACGAAAGATTATTTTATTATGTAATTGTATATTATACTAACAAAATATGATTACGTATTATATTTACAAAATGTAATTTTATATTATTGTTACAAAATAGGAACTGAATTTCAAGTAATAAAATATAATGATCGGAGACCTAACCTCACTTTTTGAGGATCACTTAAACTTTCAATTTTGATAAAATTTATGAAGCTTAAATTTCAGTACTTAATTTATCAAATTAATTTAATTAATATAATTTATAACACGGTGTAAGAGATGCCTTGAAAATAAATTTTCTTCAACTTCCTTTCAAGTGAAGTAAAAGATGAATGATTTTGTCAAGGTCCATAAATCATGGAGAAAAGTGACAACAGTGAAGAGAAAATTAGAAATTGAATCGGAATTAGAAAGGGAAGTTCGAAGAGTTGCGGGTTTGTCGAAGATGGACGTTGACTTTCAAACAAACTGACCTCGAGCAAAACTTTTACCTTTCTCCAAGTTCAACCCTTAAACGTTGTCGAGCAGACAGCGATTATTGGAAACCCGATCGAACGTCGCTTAATATGCTCGAATGGTATCGAACAACCGAATTATTGAAATTCATGGGGGTCATTAACCGGTCCCTCGCATGCGAATAACAAAATACGCCGCGGTTCTGCGCGAACGATCATATTTATATTCATTTTATAATGGCCGGTAAATTATTAATGCGACACGTGAATAAAAGGTATCGTAAACACGAAAATTATACTCGTGTCCGACCTACCGTAATAATATAATTATACGCTGCCCTCCGTTCATCCGCGAACTGCGCACCGATTTCATTTTATATCGATTATAATATGAATTTTATATTGATTCGATGATGTTCGTGAATCGTGACAGTTGGCCATGCAACCGTGCTGAAGGAAACGGAAGTCACGAACGCTGCCAGACAGGATGCATGTTTCGAAGTTTGTGAATTTGGGGTTGTTTTCTTCGAACCTAATAGCATAATCACGATCCTGACAGATTCATAAGAAAATTGTTTCATGTGGATTGAAGAGTTTATAGGTGGAGTGAATTTTGAAAGGGAGATTTTGGGACGCTAGAAGTTTGGGAGTGTAGTAATTTGGGAGTGTGGAAGTTTAGGTTGGGTTTGAGACTTTAGGTTAGGTTAGGTTTGAGAGTTTAGAAGTTTGGGACCTTGGAAGTTTAGGTTGGATTTGGGACTTTAGGTTAGGTTTGGTTTGGAATGATAGAAGTTTGGGAGTTTGGAAGTTTAGGTTGGGTTTGGAACTTAGGTTAGGTTAGGGTTGGGAGTTTAGAAGTTTGGGATCTTGGAAGTTTAGGTTGGGTTTGGGACTTTAGGTTAGGTTAGATTTGGGAGTTTAGAAGTTTGGGACTTTGGAATTTTAAGTTGGGTTTGGGACTTTAGGTTAGGTTAAGTTTGGAACTCTTGAAGGTCGGATTAAATTTGAAACTCTTGAAGGTTGGATTAGGTTTGGAACTCTTGAAGGTTGGATTAGGTTTGGAACTCTTGAAGGTTGGATTAGGTTTGGAACTCTTGAAGGTTGGATTAGGTTTGGAACTCTTGAAGGTTGGATTAGGTTTGGAACTCTTGAAGGTTGGATTAGGTTTGGAACTCTTGGAGGTTGGGTTAGGTTTGGAACTCTTGAAGGTTAGGTTAGGTTTGGAACTCTTGGAGGTTGGGTTAAGTTTGGAACTCTTGGAGGTTGGATTAGGTTTGGAACTCTTGAAGGTTGGGTTAGGTTTGGAACATCAGGTTAGATCATAAGACTTCATGATCCTAAATTACCTGAAGGGAAATCTTTTTTCCAGGACCTTTGAGCCTGAGAGCCTTACAGTATGAACGTTCAGTCTCTAAGAGCATCATGATCTATTTAACGCATTGTAAAAAATGACAACGACATCCATCCCCGCAAGTATAACACCCGGACGTCTTAAAGCCTTCAAAGTCAATTATTCAAAGATCTTATCTCTCTACAAGGTTCACGTTTCTCTCCTGTATAAGCCAGTAGCCGCGAATTCCATGTTTTTCCTCGATCACGATCGATGGGTTTCGTGAGTGCACACACGTCTCTAGAAGGCGCTTAATAAACGTTATTGGCCGGGTCCTGGTTCGCGTTAGGTGGGAGTTAAGGCCCAGAGCACATCCCACGGCCATCTATGGGAGCCTACCTTTCTCAGGGAGCGTTCTCTCGCTTACGTAAGCGAACGAAAGCGTGACGAGGACGGTTATCGACGACGCGGAGGAAGCGCGATCGTTCGAGCAGGACGAAAGATAGCGGAAAAGGGAGCAAAGAGAGGAAAAAAAGGGGCATCGCAGACGAGAGAAGGTGCCCGGGGCTGTCTGGAATCTTCTCAAAATGATTCACAGCCTCCGGTAATTTACATTCGCTTGCGTGGGTGATCGTCGGGGGCTTGGGCTACGGGGGAGAAGGTCGGGGGGCCGCCGGCCATACTCTTCTCTTTGCCGACTGCCATCGAAAAGGTTAAACATACACCCACAAGAGGTCACGTAACCAACTATAAGAGAAAGACCGAACTTCCAGCTACCTCCCTTCCTTTACCGCCAACGTGATTCTCCTGCACACGCGTCCGCGGTCCATGTGATGCGCACTGTGAACTCCGGAACAGGCGACGAGAAACATAACAGAGGTACTTCCGCTCCTACTCTACCTCGGGATTACCTTCATTAGAAACTCTGGAGGGGGTTGATATACGTCACAGCTTCGGGATGGTGTCGGATCACGATGTCTTTAGTTACTGGGTTATTCTGTCACTTCGGGTGACATCTCTACTTCAAAACTATTCCAAGACTGCTACTGTTATTTTAGTTACTCAGCTAGATTGATAGGTAAAGTCTCTACTTCAGAAGTAGCCTAACTATATTTTTGTTAATTTAGTTATTGAACTGGATTAGTAGGTCACATTAGGGATGATGTCTCTAAGTCAGAAGTAGCTCAACTTCTTTTTTGTTGATGTGGTTACTGAGGTGGATTAATAGGTAACATCAGGGATGAAGTCCCTACTTCAGAAGTAGCCCAACTACATTTTTGTTAATTTAGTTACTAAACAAGATTAATAGGTGACCACAGGGATGAAGTCCCTACTTCAAAAGTAGCCCGACTACATTTTTGTTAATTAAGTTACTAAGCTGGATTAATAGGTCACATTAGGGATGATGTCTCTAAGTCAGAAGTAGCTCAACTTCTTTTTTGTTGATGTGGTTACTGAGGTGGATTAATAGGTAACATCAGGGATGAAGTCCCTACTTCTGAAGTAGCCCAACTACATTTTTGTTAATTTAGTTACTGAGTTAGATTAGTAGGTCACGTCAGGGATGAAGTCCTTACTTCAAAAGTAACCCAACTACATTTTTGTTAATTTAGTTACTGAGCTGGATTAATAGGTCACATCTGGAATGAACTCTATACTCCAGAAGTATCTCAATTTCATATCTGGAGTAAAGACTCTATCAACCATTACATGTCACCATACTTACTTGCAATGTACCTCGGTTACAATTTTACGAATAAACATAAATTAATGATTAGGTACATGAATGTGGTTGAGCATAAAATCGCTGTCCTTTCAAAGGAAAAGAGCAGTGGATAAATGAATCGTTAAATAAATTAATGCAATGCAAATTAAACTCTCAAAGGAAAGAAGCAGATATAAATGAATATGACTAAACATGAATTTATTAAATAAATCCGTAACAAAAAGTTACAACATGAACAATAGTTTTGAACAATTGCTTCATCAAAAATTCCTAAAAGAAAGAATACCCCAACTTTCTTTGCAAGACAATAAAATCTGCGTGTAGGAGCAACGACATTCATTAAATGTAATCGATAATCTTAGAATAAAGTGTCAGTCTCAGTGGGCCGAGGTGCAACATTTTACAGCGGCGTCAATTGCACACCCACGAGCGAGTTTTCCGTCCGTGTATTTGCATATCAATGAAAAGCGACGTGCACGTGCGCGCGTAGGAATACGTCTTCGATTTAATTGCCCCGACTCGCGTGGATGACGTCGACCGACGATATAAAATAAAATCCTATCCGCAAGGGGACAGATAAAGAAACGGAAGATAGAGACAGAGTCGAGCAAGCGAGACATTCGCCTTGGGCGCAACACGACCCGTTTCAAAGACACGTAGGGCCAAACCAGAGGGCAAAGGAGAGAAGGGAATGGCTTCTCCCTAAAATATGTGGACCCACGGGCAACACTCGGACTCTCCTCGTTACATCCTGCTGAACGGCCTGGGGTTATACTGGTCCGCCATGCCGGCAGTCTGTATATCGTATGATACAAAAACATCACATTATTTTCTTCTTTCTTCAGCGTGAATCGGTTCCCCTCTGGCCCCGTCTCTGTCTCTTTTCTTGCTCTTCTCCGCGAACGAACGCCCTCGGGGCATGTGACCACCATTATACTTTGCCTTACTCCTTCTCGTCCTCTTCGTTTTCCACCTACTACTTCGCTCTGACGTATCCTTCTGATTCTTCTGATTACGAGGTGGATGTCGCGCGATTAATTGTGTTTACGTTATGGTTCACGATCGATTGGGATTTGGATCAGGTGAGGGCGACGACCAAGAGAGGTACGTTCTGCGGACGGGTACTTGGGGATTTTGGGATTTGGGAGATTTGGGATTTGGGAGATTTGGGATTTGGGAGATTTGGGATTTGGGAGATTTGGGATTTGGGAGATTTGGGATTTGGGAGATTTGGGATTTGGGAGATTTGGGATTTGGGAGATTTGGGATTTGGGAGATTTGGGATTTGGGAGATTTGGGATTTGGGAGATTTGGGATTTGGGAGATTTGGGATTTGGGAGATTTGGGATTTGGGAGATTTGGGATTTGGGAGATTTGGGATTTGGGAGATTTGGGATTTGGGAGATTTGGGATTTGGGAGATTTGGGATTTGGGAGATTTGGGATTTGGGAGATTTGGGATTTGGGAGATTTGGGATTTGGGAGATTTGGGATTTGGGAGATTTGGGATTTGGGAGATTTGGGATTTGGGAGATTTGGGATTTGGGAGATTTGGGATTTGGGAGATTTGGGATTTGGGAGATTTGGGATTTGGGAGATTTGGGATTTGGGAGATTTGGGATTTGGGAGATTTGGGATTTGGGAGATTTGGGATTTGGGAGATTTGGGATTTGGGAGATTTGGGATTTGGGAGATTTGGGATTTGGGAGATTTGGGATTTGGGAGGTTTGGAATTTGGGAGGTTTGGGATTTGGGAGATTTGGGATTTGGGAGATTTGGGATCTGGGAGATTTGGAATTTGGGGACCTTGGGATTTGGGGGTCTTCGAATTCGAGGACCTTGGGATTTTGGAACCTTGGGATATGGGGACCTTGGAATTTGGGGACCTTGGAATTTGGAGACCTTGGGATTTGGGGACCTTGGAATTTGGGAGTCTTCGAATTTGGGGACCTTGGGATTTTGGAACCTTGGGATTTGGGGACCTTGGAATTTAGGGACCTTGGAATTTGGGTGTCTTCGTATTCGGGAATCTTGGGATTTATGGACCTCAAGGTTTGGAGGGTCTTGGAATTTGGAGATCTCGGAATTAGAAATTTTTGGAATTTTAGAATCTTAGTATTTAGGGACCTTGGGATGTGGGATTTTGGGACTTTAGAACTGACAACATTGGGATTTGAAAATTAATGAACATAGCAATCCAGCAATTTAGAGATCATAAAATTGAAGACATAGTAATTTGAGTTCTTATCTATTTGGAAACCTTGAGATTTGATAACTTTATGATTTAGTGATCCGTAGATATCAAAACCTAGTGATTTAAATGTCTAAAACCATAGAAACATACAAGTATGATCCTAAAAGTCTGTGTACATACCACTCTCAGTCCCACACCTCACCAGATACCTCAATCCCAGAAATGGACAAAATAATTGCCCTTCTATGCCCGTAACTCTTCAGAGGCTACCCATCTCCATCCATCCTTGCCCCACATTCATCCACATCCAAAACAAACCCACTTCACTACACACCTAACCTAATCTACCCGTTTTTAATCCACCATATTAAGATCTACCAAACGTGAACTTAAACCATTCGATTTCACAAACCACGAAACGTGAAGCAACAAGGATTCTCAACGGGGTGCTAGTCTTTACAGTTTCGCCTTGTTGATTGATAGTCCCAGGCGCAAAAACATACAAATGGCATCAACGAGATGATTCAGACGGATAACATTGTACGATCTTTCTTTCCAAGTGTGAAGAGACGAATGTATCAAGAACCGTCGGATCAACTACTGTCCTGCGGTGATCGATCGTTCCTCTCGATCAATACATTCCCTGATAGATTTCGGTTGAGAGATTAGAGAGGAAAGGACAGAAGTTTGTGTAGATTGCATCGTGCTTTCACTCCGAGTTATCTTTCTAATGGACTAAAAGGAACACCGTTTACCGCTAGTTTTACGGAATCTCGTGTATCCACGAGAATTTATTGGCCATTTTGGTATCCAACTTTTTACTTATACAGACGCGGTATCCTTCACGTATGCATTCCTGCAGAACTTGATATTTAACGCATGCGGTGCTAAATAATCAACAAGCAGTTAAATCTTGTCTTTATAACTTAAGTAATATTTGTGCGTTTGCAAATTTACGTTCACCGGAGGTTTTGATCGATCTTCTCGTTTCTCAAATTGCGTCACCGGTCATAAACGTTTTGGTACTTGTCTCGAGATTTATTGCCCACTGGTTGTGTTAATTTGTAAATTTATTTAGCACTCTATCATTTGGATGTGTTCAATAAAATTCATTTATGCATTTTATGGGCTGGGTAATTGGCTTGGAGGAGTGTGGACTTTTATTGTCGAACGATGAGAAATGTGTGGTATGTCAAATTTCTTAATTTTAGTTAAGGAATTAAAGTTAAAAATTTCTTAAGTTTATGAATTATCTTAGGTTATGAATTTCTGGATCATAAATTTCTTAATTTTTCATATTGCAAATTTTTTAATTTTTATGTTACAAATTTTCAGATTTTGAGGTTGCAAATTTTCATATTTTTAGATTACAGATTTGTTAATTTTCAAGTTATAAATTTTCCAATTTTTAGGTTTCAAATTTTTCATTTTCAAAACCACAAATTTTCCAATTCTCAAATTACCAGATTGTCAATTTTCAAGTTATAAATTTTCCAATAGTCAGGTTACAAATTTTTCATTTTCAAAACCACAAATTTTCCAATTCTCAAATTACCAAATTGTCAATTTTCAAGTTATAAATTTTCCAATAGTCAGGTTTCAAATTTTTCATTTTCCAAACCACAAATTTCCCAATTTCTAACTCCCCAGCCTTAAAAACTACAGATATCAAGATGTCCGCCCCATCAACGCGTAATGCCGCGCGTCAACAAAATGGCCGTCGCCCATTTCAGCAATCAACATCCACAAACGTCCTCTTCTCCACTCGCCCCCGATTTAATCCACTAATCGCGGATCCAGGATGAGCTGAAGAGAACGCATTAAAGAAATGGTCCATCGAATTTTACTCAGGTTTTCAACGGAACTGTTAAACGTTTCGTCGGACCGATAACTTGAAAATTGACACTCACGGTTATGGTACCCGAGCACTCTTCTTCATCGCACCACAGTTAGCCGTCATGCGATTGGTAATCGTTTAAAAGGTCCCGAAGCGAGTACAGTCTCCTCTTGGCGCAGTGATAATGGTCATTTTGAAAGTCTGCTTTCGAAACGAGGAACTGCAGAATCTCTATATGCTTTTACCGTACGGATGAAAGTTTATATTGTATCATTGGTGGTAGAAATTACGGATGCAAGTTTTGAGAGCTACCTGAATACGGAATTTGTTTTTTTATTGACGCTGCAATCATCATGGGAAAAGAAGAATCGATCGTGAGATGATTACTGTAACTCTTCCTGCGAATCGGAGATATTAAGATGCAGTGAGTGCACTTAAGGTTTCGAAATTGTGGCACTTCAAGTTTTCGAAGAATTGGAGAATTTGGGGTTGTTGGACGAGGAAATGTTTAAAGGGTATTGCAAGATTTTAATTATTTTTTTTTATACAGTTTTAGGGAATATTGAAGAATTGAGGGAATTGAAGATTAGGTAAATGGGTAATGAGGAAATGGGATATTAGGAAAGAGAAAAATTAGGAAATGGGAAATTAGGGAATTGAGATAATAGGAAATTGGGAAATTACGAAATTAGGGAATTAAGGAAGATGGAATTGGGGAATTATGGAATTGGGGAATTATGGAATTGGGGAATTTTGGGATTGGGGAATTATGGAATTGGAAAATTATGGAATTGGAAAATTATGGAATTGGAAAATTGTGGAATTGGGAAATGGTGGAATTGGGAAATGATGGAATTGGGAAATTATGGAATTGGGAAATTATGGAATGGGGAATTATGGAATTGGAAAATTATGGAATTGGAAAATTGTGGAATTTGGGAAATTGTGGAATTGGGAAATTATGGAATTGGGAAATTAGGGAATTGGAAAATTGTGGAATTAGGAATTGCGGAATTGGGAAATGATGGAATTCGGAAATTAGCGAATTGGAAAATTTGAAATTAGGAAACTTAAAAAATTGGAAATTAGAAAAACTTGAGAATACAGTATTACGAACACCTAATTAACCTTACAACCCTGATAATTTAAAAATAAAAACCTAAAAACATTAACAAATTCTCAACATTCCTCCAACTCTCCCCACTCCCATCACCTTCCACGTCAAACATCAGTAAAAATAAAACTCCCAAAAAAAACGAAAAAACATCCATCAGTTTGTCGATGTCATCAACGAAGGCTGTTATTTCGAAAAAAGAAAATCGACAGGTATGACAACAACAACCATGGATTTTGACGTGAAATGGCTCGTACACGAGCGTCACTTTGTCCCTGACGAAGTTAGCGTTTACGTATGCGAGCAGCATCGTCCGGTGGGTTTGGAAGTGCCCGGGGCATTCTGGAACGATGTTGTCGGCCGTGGCCGTTTTAGCCCCGGGCAACTGTAATACGACAGACACCAGGGCCGAGCCGAGTTGAGCTGAGGCTTGGTTCCCTTTATATCGGCCCTCGCCAACTGCCCCATTATTCTCGATGGCCGATGGCCAATCGTATCGGCCAAGTACCAACTGTAACTTTACGAGGACGAGGTCTCCTCGGTGTGCGGCTACGTTTGGAAAAGCTCCAGCTGCAACGTAAAGGAACCGAATGTCTACTTTCCACCTGCTTTTACATTCTGTTATTCTTTTATTGCCACTTTTCTTGCGTTTTCATCTTTGCTTTATTGAAAAGGTTTGGGAGGCTTCTTGAAGCATTTATGCTATATTGCTTGAGTTATGCTTTGTGGGGCTTTTCGTGAATTATAGCTGCTTTTTGTATACTTACTCTTTTCGTGGGGATGATTGGTTGAATTTGTAGGTCGATGACTTGGAAACTTGGAATGTGATAGGTTGTGTTTGGGAAGTTTGAAAGAAATGTGTCGGGGTATTACAGAGTGGGACATTAGTGAAGGGAGATGATAGCAAGCAGGAAAGTTAAAAGGTATTTACATCTTTACATCTCTACATTCTCAAATTCTCACATGTCGACATTTCTACTTCCCCAAGTCCTCACATGTCCAAATCTCTACTTCCCCAAATACTTACATGTCCACATCTCTACTTCCCCAAATCCTCACATGTCCAAATCTCTACTTCACCAAATCCTCACATGTCCAAATCTCTACTTCACCAGATCCTCACATGTTCAAATCTCTACTTTGCCAAATCCTCACATGTCCAAATCTCTACTTTGCCAAATCCTCACATGTCCAAATCTCTACTTTGCCAAATCCTCACATGTCCAAATCTCTACTTTGCCAAATCCTCACATGTCCAAATCTCTACTTTGCCAAATCCTCACATGTCCAAATCTCTACTTTGCCAAATCCTCACATGTCCAAATCTCTACTTTGCCAAATCCTCACATGTCCAAATCTCTACTTCACCAAATCCTCACATGTCCAAATCTCTACTTCTCCAAATCCTCACATGCCCAAATCTCTACTTCCCCAAATCCTCACATGTCCACATCTCTACTTCCCCAAATTGCTACATTCCCAAATTCCTACGTCCCCAAATCGGTACATCTCCAAATCCCTACGTTCCCAAATCTTTAGATCCCCAAATTTCCACGTTCTGCAATCACTCCGTCGCCACCTTGATAAACCTCTAAATCCCTAAATTAATAATTCTAATAAATCCTATATTTAGTCCACAATCCTCTTCATCCCCGAGGTCACCTTATTTCGTCGCCCGTGATTGGCTTCGCTCCCCGGTCAACTTCGTCCGCCATTATCGTGGTCATTATTATCACGATTATTTTCAACGACGTACCCTTTTTTTCTCTTATCCCGTTCCCGTGCCAGCCACCGTTAATTAGTCTCGCTTCAACAACGATCGATCCTCCACGGATCCCTCCTGGCGTTTCAGGATTTCCTACGTCCTATTCACCGTGTAATTTCCACTCGATCCACCTAGCTAGATCGCCGTGGCCGCAACTTCGACGATGATGCAAATGAAATTTAATCAACGACACAACAACTTCATCCTGTTGGACAGCCCTCGGTATCGCGGTATTCACGATTCGAGCCATTTTCAACGGAATTTAGCCTCTTTCGTTTTCAGATTATCGCGTTGCCTCCTCTTGTGTTTTTGTTCCTTAGCTTCGATCGTTATGCACCGTCTCCGCGGGCATCTTTGATGAACGCCCCCGGCGGACCTTACCTCAGCGATGCTGCCTCTTTCTTTGCGAATCGATTTTCTACTTGTATATTTTGAACGACTTTTTATGGAAGTCGGTCGGTAAATCTGTCTTATGCGAGCAATTATTTAGGAAAGTAATAGGTGTTAATATTTGTTAAATACATTTGATACATAGTTATGTGATGGAGTTTATGGTTATGTGGAAATATTTGGGATCTGGGGTATAGGAGGTCGAGAATACAGGGATCTGGGAATTTGAGGTCTTAAAAATTATGGAAACTTGAGAACTTTGAAACTTGAAAAGTTCGGGCCTTGAGAACTTTGGAACTTGAGAACTTTGGAACTTGAGAACTTTGGAACTTGAGAACTTTGAAACTTGAGAACTTTGAAACTTAAGAACTTAGAAACTTGAGGACTTGGAAACTTAAGAACGTGGAAATTTGAGAACGTGGGAATTTGAGAACTTGATAACTTGAAAGCTCTAATACTCAAAAGCTCCATCACTTACAAACATCCAAGCTCGAAATCCCAAAAGCTCACTAACCCAAAAACTCGACTCCCAAAATCTCAAAAACTTCACCACCAAACTTTGTAAAATTGAAAAAAGAATAAACGTCGCGAAAAATAATGGTAATAATAATGACGATGATAATGGCGGATGGCAGAGTTGACCGCGGGGCGTCGACGGGGTTGCGAAGCCAATTGACACAGGACGGAATAGGGTGACCTCGAGGGTGAAGAGGATTGCCAGCTCAGGGCGCTTACCAAAACGCCGCGGGGTGCTTCTCGCTGGAAACTGCCTGGAGGGTGGGGAGAGGGTTAATGTGGTGGGGGAAGTAGCGCGAACGGTCTGACGCCGAAGAAACACTTCAGTTCCATTAAAGCCACGGTGACGTGCGGTTCGCGCTCTGTTTACCTCTCGTTCTAAGACACGTGAACCGTGACCACGTGGATCTGTGTGTGTGAGACACAGGAACAACAATCGCCACGCTGGCTCACGAAAAGTGGTGACTTTTTCTATTTTTTTTTTACTTGTTTGGTGGTTTGGAGCAAATCGTGTTTTGGAATCTTGGCAACCGTGGACGCGAAAACAACCGTCAACCTGGAGCCCACGTGTCAGAAACGGTGAGTGTTGTAATTGCATGCTCATTTTTTATTTCAGTGACTTTTTTTATGACAATTTGTTTGTGAATTATGTCAAATGTGTACTTTGAAAGTTTCTCGAAGTCAGTGATTTGTATGAATTTTGAAGTTGTACGAGGTTGTTGTAGACTGAAAATTCAACCCTCTGTTGCATCTATTGCAACTGCATTACGAATGTGATACATTAAGTGATACATGTGATTCTTATATTTTTACGAACATAAATTATGTATATTTTATTATATCTTTTTTTGTTGAATTTATAAAAATGAATATATTTGTTCATTGTTACTGTCTTATAAAACTAATGAGGTTTGAGAAATGAATTTTTACAAACTTGAAGAAATACAACCAGATGGACAAGGGGTTAATAGTTGTCTTGTTCAAGTATCATCTTATTCCTATGATTGTTTAAAAGTTGTCATAAAAATGATCAAGTGCACAATTATTCAAGATTGTTAAACATCCATTGCAATTTCTTTTTGAAACTGTATATGTTTGAAACATTGTACTAAATATTGAGGAATATTAAAAATTGTAAGGAGCTATAAATATTGTATAAAAGTGTTGTATAAAATTTGAGGGACATGTACCTAATATTCACAGGAACAACTAAAAATTGTCAGGAAATAAAAAAATCTTTAAAAAATATTAAATGAAGACTGTGCCTAAAACCTACCCTTAACATTGAGAATACTACCCTTAATATTGAATCAAGTTTCAGAACTAAATACATAATACAAAAATAAATGAAAACTGTTAAAAAATGAAGGAAAATCCATCCATAAATAAATTAAAATATAAACTTGTATTAACAATTACCCTGAATATTTTCAATCCGACAAATAATATTAATTCTCAATAATAAACTTAATGCACCAAAAATAAAAAATTCCAAATACGTAAAAAATTTGTTTTTTAACGACTCGATGAACCATAACTCGAAATTAGATTAACATGCAATATCAATATCAGTTTCCTTTGACAAATGTGCCCCACAATTTGTCCGCGACCTTCCTCAACCCCGCTGTATTTTCCATTAAGCCCACAATCTCTAAATACCACGGTGACGAATCAGTGAACAGAAACTATAATATTTGTACACAGCAAAGCGATTCGCATAGCAATTAGAAACGCAAAGCACTCTACTCGTTCGTTCATAATCTATCTAATTACACGCTTTACTTTCGCGTCGATTACAATTTAACGTTGCCTGCTCGTGATTAGAAGATAACAAACCCGATTCTCCACACTCTTACTTAGTATCGTACTACTTCCAGATTAAAACTAGTAAACCGGTTTATTAAGTTTCTTATTTTCACCTACAAAATTTGTTTACTTGTCTTTGAGATCTGTTTTGATTCTTATCGAAAATATTACCTGCGTTAGTGCATGTTTTATTGGTTCATTTATTTCTCTGCATTGGTTTTTATTTTTGGACTACTTAACTGGTTACTTAATCGTAAAAATATTTGGTTGGACTGTTTACTTATTTAGACTACTTACTGAAGCTACTTATTTCATTTTTAAGTTATTTATTTAACTAGGTACTTAATTTTAGAACTACTTACTCAACTACTTACTTAAGTACTCAGTTAATTTTGAAATTATTTATTTAATCACCTAATTAATTTTAAAAACAGTTACTTAACTACTTACTTTATTTTGATACTACTTACTCAATTACTTATTTAACTAGTTACTTCATTTTGGAACTACTTACTTGACTACTTACTTACTTTTAATGCCACTTACTCATCTACTCACTTGACTACTTACTTAATTTTAATGTTACTTATTCAACTACTTACTTCATTCTGAAACTATTTACTTAACTCCTTACTTCATTCTGAAACTACTTACTTAACTCCTTACTTTATTTTGAAACTACTTACTCAACCACTTACTTCGTTTTAAAACTACTTACTCAAGTACTTGCTTAATGTTGAAACTACTTGCTCAACCACTTACTTCATTTTAAAACTACTCACTCAACTACTTACTTAATGTTGAAACTTCTTACTCAACCACTTACTTCATTTTAAAACTACTTACTCAACTACTTAGTTAATGTTGAAACTACTTACCCAACCACTTACTTAATTTTAAAACTACTTACTCAACTACTTAGTTAATGTTGAAACTTCTTACTCAACCACTTACTTCATTTTAAAACTACTTACTCAACTACTTACTTAATCTTGAAACTACTTGCTCAACCACTTACTTCATTTTAAAACTACTTATTCAACTACCTACTTAATGTTGAAACTACTTGTTCAATTACTTACTTCATTTTAAAACTACTCACTCAACTACTTACTTAATGCTGAAACTACTTATTCAATTAATTACTTCATTTTAAAACTACTTACTCAACTACTTACTTAATGTTGAAACTTCTTACTCAACCACTTACTTCATTTTAAAACTACTTACTCAACTACCTACTTAATGTTGAAACTACTTGTTCAATTACTTACTTCATTTTAAAACTACATACGTAGCTACTTATTTAATGTTGAATTTAAAGTTCTATACAAATGAATTTCATGCAACCTCTCGAAAAGGTCTCCGCACAAAATTTTACGTAACCGCTTTTCTCTTTCTAACAGGAAACAACGGTTTTATTTTATTAGATAAATGTCGAACCGCAAGAAATCGGCGATAAAAGGAGAAAAATGGAACGTTATTTCGCGCTGATTTCCTCGAATCATAGTGTCGAAATATTGCGTGACGAATCGACGTCTGTACAGGAACGTGGAAACGAAATGTCCGTTAATTAAGTCGCCGGGAAGCCGTCGAAGTTTAAAATGTCCCCGTAATGACAGCTCGCCGCGCGAAATGACAGACGAAACGAATCGATCGTGATTTCGATCGAGACCAACGTTCGCTTAATATCCGTGTTCCTCTATGTACGTGTTTTGCGTTACACTCGTGTTCTTAAATTATAAAGTATACGGGAATTTAAAGTGTAAGTTGAATAAAATATTGATTATGATTGAAATAAAGTGCGCGAAATTTTTGGTGTCGATGAAAATTACTACGCGATGCGCTTAAGAACTTAATTTACATTCACAGGAATTTTGGTACTTTTTATGGGGACTTCACAGTAATTGTACAATGCTGAAAATTAAATATAGAAATTGTTGTGACATAATTGGTATAATTGTTAGCGTTGTTAGAATTGATAGAATTGTAAAAGTTGACAAAATTGTTAAAATTTTTAAATATACTTTAAATTGTCAACATTGTCAAAAATTATTAAAATTGTCAAAATTTTCTTAAATTGTCAAAATTGTTAAAATTGTCACAATTATCAAAATTATTAAAATTGTCACAATTATCAAAATTATTAAAATTGTCACAATTATCAAAATTATTAAAATTGTCACAATTATCAAAATTAACAAAATTGTCACAATTATCAAAATTATTAAAATTTTCACAATTATCAAAATTAATAAAATTGTCACAATTATCAAAATTATTAAAATTGTCACAATTATTAAAATTATTAAAATTGTCACAATTATCAAAATTATTAAAATTGTCACAATTATCAAAATTATTAAAATTATCACAATTATCAAAATTATTAAAATTGTTACAATTATTAAAATTATTAAAATTGTCACAATTATCAAAATGATTAAAATTGTCACAATTGTTAGAATTGTTAAAATTATAATAATTGGCTTAATTGTTAGAATGGTTACAAATTATTAGAATCGCTGTAAATTATAAAATAGAGTTCCATGTATCATACTGAACACTTCCTCATTCCAATATGGCGGCATGACCTGCAAGAACCAGTAAAAACACGTAAAAAAAATAAACTCCGCCAACTCACGTTAATATAACATTAATATATTACCAATAACACAAGATCCCATAAAAAAATTAAAATACAAGAATTAAACCATTAAACCATTTCTGAACCATTTTGCGTTAATTTTGCGTTAAGCGTCAGCCATTTTGTTTTAACTCAAACACTCCTCACGTTAAACGTAAAACAAATTAATCATCGAAATAAAAAATGCTCCAACTCTATTGCAATTAAGTATCACACAAGAAAAATAATAACCAGTTTGACCCGTTCACCTCGTTTAACTTTTTCTCGTTAATATATGCACTTGTTATATTTAGAATTTATTTAACATGAAATTTACAAATAAATTCACAATTTTGCATATTCTATTTCTGAAACTGAAGATTTCTGCATGGAGTAAAGAGTATAATCTACATGAAGTATTTGAACGCAGTAACTTGCCCATTCGTAGAAAATGGAAGTTACAATGGAGTTGCTCAATCCTGAGTTGCATTCCATCGTCATCGAACAATGCTTATGATCAATTATGCATTTCACGTTTGTTGTAATGACATATGGAGCCTCGACACGCAGAATCCGCTTTCGAGAGTTAACAGAGTTCTGCAGTAACTCGACGAGAGGGTCCGTTAGTTCTGGATGCTTAAGTGATTTGCAATCGGACATTAAGTTTGACCTAATATTTTTGCTTAAAAATATTTACTGTATCTTGTTATGAAATAATACTTTTTATCTTCACATTGTTTCTTAAAGATTTTATATTGTAATAAAATTGATGTACTTTGATCTTGCATTTTAACACTGAAGTTGCATATAGTATGTGCTTAATGAAGATAAAAAATAAATAAACGAACGAAACATAAGTTAGTATATACATTTATTATTTGTCTTGATGAAAATCAATTGTGATTTCAAGGAATGTACTTTAACAAAATGTGTACCTTATGATTATGACATTCTTGTAAGATCATTATTTAACTGTTTGAGTATGCAATTTTTGTAAGAAGATCATTGAACAATTGGTAGAATATGTATATTTTCATTTGAACTGAAACAATGTGATAGATTAGAGTAAAAATGCTATGGTATCAAAGTTCTAGAGCTGACGTTAAACATTAAAAATTAACAAGTTTTAATGTTTTAAAATTCTAGA